CGCAGCACCGGCAGCAGCCAAGGCGACGGCGGCGGCTGAGGGCAGTGGCGTGGAGGGCTGCTGGGCCTTGCGGGGAATGGTGCTTGGGGACTGGCGTGCTTGGAAGCGGTGGCAGGGTGTGCTCGAAGTGGCAGCGAGGGTTTCCCAGATCTGATCTCGACGGTGGTGGATCCTCCGGCCGTCGCTTCGCGGGCGGCACGGGCTGCGGTGGCGCGCAGGGGCTGTTGCGCTCGTTGGCGGCGGCATGGTGGTGGTGGTGGTGGTGGTGCGTGCCGGCCGGATTTCGCCTTTTTTTCGGCTGGCGGCGCGGGTTTGGGGCCCCGGCCCGGCGTGGCTGCGGTCCCGGCTGTGGGTGGCGGCGGCAAGGTGGCTTCGCTGTGCCGGCTCCATGGTAGCTCGGCGGGTCGACTGGGCCGGCGGCTGGCTTTCCAGCGTCGGCTCGTCTGTTGGCGGCCCGTTTCGACCTTCGGCCCTCTCCTCGTCGTCTGGTTGCTACCTCCGTCGAAGGTTCGGCCCTCCCCCGACTATGGTCCATCGCTTGTCTCGCGCTCGGCAGCAGGACCGAGCTCGTTTCGGGCCCGGCAGCAGGACCGACCTCGTCTCGCGCCCGGCAGCAGGACCGTGCTCGTCTCGCGCCCGGCAGCAGGATGGGTCGATGGAGGCCAATTTTGGCCGACCTTTGGGTTTTGGCGTTAGGGGCAGCCCAGGGGTGCGAAAGGCGATTGCTTTCCGCTCGCATCTTTGGTTGAGGTAGCGGTGGGTCTCGAGTGAGGTGGATTCCAGGTCTTGGATGCCAGGGCGGCGGCCCTGGGGGTGGCTCCGCGGTGCTCTTGGGCAGAGCCCGTGGTTAGGTGCTGCCCGGTGGCCATGGCCGTGTGGGCGGCGTGGTCAACGGGATGTGGCGTCCGGTGGTGGTGAGTGTTGGCCGGGGTGAAAACCTGATCTATCTTCGGACGGACTGGCGGCGACGAAGCTCGCTCCCTTCTTGAAGGCGTCGTCGCAGCTCTCATTGCCCGTCGTGTTGCTCCAGGGGAAACTCTGATCCTCGGGTCGGGCGGTGACGGCGCTCTGGTGTCGTAACCTTCCTGAAGGCGCCGCCTTGGAGCACACGGTTCGTCATATGCGGCTTCTTTCTCTTCGCGTTGGCATGTCCACGGTTGAGGACTCCGGTTGCTCTTGTAGTACTAGGGGTAGTGTTGCCGCGCTCAGCGCCTATGTATCCAGCCGTGGGTGTGTGCGTGTGTTGTGATGGCGTGTGTTTGTATCTGAGCTGTGGTCGGTCATTGCTTTATATATAAAGCGGGGCGAAAGCCTTTTTCGGTATATACTATAACACCCCCTCTCACGTGTGACGGGGAAGACAAGTCAACATGTGCAACCAGAAGAGAGCGCCGGCGCGCCAAACTCACATATGACTCAAGAGGCCACTATGTGGACACAACGGGGGGGGCTACCAGCAATTTTTAATAAATTGTGAAAGTCAGGATTTGAACTCAAGACCTTAGCTCCAATACCATGTTAAGCTTCATGCACTAGCCAACGCAACCAAAAATCCGAACTGATGGAAAGGGCTAGTGCAATCCACATATACTGTAACAGCATGATCGTCAATGATTTGGTCAGGAAATAACGAGGCTCAGAATTCAAATCGAAGTACTTACAGCATCCAGAAAGGCAGACACGGTAGTCATCCCAGGCAGTGCATGTAAACCATCCTGAAATTGGTTCAGAGGTGCCATGTTTTCAAGAGAGCTTCCAATATGGCAATGTCCATAGCCAAACAAAAAGTTTAATGAAGTTCGAAAATAAAACCTGATGCTCTACACGACTTCTGTAGATGAACCCCCCACAACAAAGTAGGCTCGAAAAGACAATGAATCTGCACACAAAGAGCACGTAAGTCAGAACTGTAAACACAATGAAGAGCAACACACGGACAAGTAGCAACAACACAGCAATTATGGCAATAATATAAGAGAAAATCATGATAGAATTGACATTACCATCAATAAAGTTCTAAAGTTCAAGAAACACATACATGCAAGAGATGATTCCAAATGTTGCCCACCCTCTCATAGAATCACTCTCTTTTTCTTGTGTGTAACCTACACAGACAACGGATATTACAAAAAGAAAACTAGTCTGAAATTTACAGGATCACAGAAACTGACCTAAAATATTATATATCATATGTACAAAAGGAGAACAATGATAAATTATTAAAACAGTAAAACTGCTCTGACATATGAATATTTTTCCTTATATAAGAACACTTGCAGTAGCTATTCATATGTTCCCAATAATACAAATTATCACAAGTATCATTAACATGGCGTTCTGTTCTATTATAATCCCAATTTACAAAGTTGCCATTTTACAAGTAAATTAATGAAAACACAGCAACTTTTTGTCACAACCAAAATACATTTGACGTGCAACATTTTTCAACCTCTGTGTCGAGATTGCAACATGTTTATCCATTCCACAGGTTAAATCTTCAGAAAATGCTTATGATATATATCTTTTGAATTATTTTCCACAGTATCTAAAATTAAACCTATTGAATCAAGTGTGAAGTTATCTCTATTATGGATGCACTTTATCTCTATGGCATAGCCCAAGGGGGGTATAAACATTACACAAGACTTGGGGTGCAAGGAAGGAAATATAGGCCAATACTAATACTCCTTGACAATCTCAACTGAGATTTGCATAAGACCCATCTTCTGCAATATTTCTAGAACACCAATCAAGATCTAGTGAAGCTCATGTAACAATTTCCAATACATGAAAATCTATATGCACAGCTGGTGATTGTCTGAATAGAACCAACCACATTCTTTGGTAAGCGTGAATTCGATTGGATCGTAGCCCGCCACTGGGATTGAAACATTCACCACATATGGATTGCTTCGAATGATTTCACCTACAAAATGTACGAACTCATTTGTTAATAGTAAGTACAAAATGGCATCAGTATGTGGAGACAAAAAATCACTAACATATCCAATTCACATTCAGAACTGTTGGAGACAGGGCAGTAGGCACGGCACCATTGGCCCCTGATCCTGTAAGCATAACATCAAGCCCTTTCATCGGATTAACCTGTGTAGTGGGAAAAAAACAAAAGAAAATTATATGCAGAGTTCAACACATAAGGTATGCAACAGGCATATGGTTAGCACCAACGGTGGCAGCAGTCTCTCAAGACTCGCCTGGTATAGCTACTGGTTTCAACAACAATGCACTCATTTGTTTGGTTAGCACTAATGATTGCGGGGTAGTTTACTAGTGTTATCTGATATTCTCAGCATCTGGTTTTAACAACAATTGTACGTCCATTGACCAACACCGACAACAAAGTTAAGGGACACCACTTACCCCAAAGAAAAACTAACTATATGTGCAAAACCAAAATAAAATGAGGTAACATAAAGAAAACCATAAGGGCATAGAATGTGTAGTTTTTACAGTCCCCAAGTCTTTTTCCTTACCCTGAAGGTAGGTTTTCCAACTAGGTCTGCGAGAGAAGACATGGCGCTAAGATATAAAGACACGTGAATCTGCTCACTTGGAAAGCTGCACAGAAAACAGAACTGCAATGATTTATATGTATCCATGTCAAAATTCTTAGATAATGTGGATCAGAACTGCACAGAAAGCTTTTGAATCAGACCATATCAAAATTCTTAGATAATGTGGATCAGAGATAGCTCTGGTTGCTAGACGCTACTCAATCCATATTTAATATACAGTGCTATTAATACACCATCAAGTCTTGACCACATCTCGTAAATATTTCGGCTTTAGGCAGTTGACATGTGGTCACATGTCTTACCGTATATACTCAAGTTGACAGTACAAGTGTGGCTTCAGAATCCTTATTCACTATGATAAAGTAACCAAAGAGGGGAGGGAAGCCCGGTGCATGTAGCTCCCGCTTGCGCAGGGACCGGGGAAGGGTCCGACCACTTAGGGTCTATAGTACGCAGCCTTTCCCTACATTTCTGTAAGAGGCTGTTTCCAGGACTTGAACCCGTGACCTCATGGTCACAAGGCAACAGCTTTACCACTGCGCCAGGCTCCCCTTCATAAAGTAACCAAAGAGATCAACAACAAAACTAAACACACACAAAGGATTCTTGAAAGGTGAGCTAAGTATAAATAACATGTATCATACTGCAATTCGGTAGCGATTAACTGACTTAGGATCTGTTTGAACCTTGTGGTTCTTCCATCAGGCGGTAGATGGATACCGGTTTCCAAGCAAGAATTCGAAGTTTGTTTGAGGATAACCCATTATGTACAAATATAGTCTTTAAGAAAGTACATATTACAGAAACCCGGTAGAACCAAGTGAACCTAGCCAGCTGAACCTTATATACAATTAGCATGACTTATGTGTTCACATGAAAGCAGTTAAACCTTCTAGTTGGCATTTAATAAGGCTTGGATAAACTGAAACTTCAACTATGCTCGAAAAATCCCCTAATCTCATTAAATTGGAAGGATATTTTGATATGATCTCTTACCTAAACCCATGATGAAGTTGTTCGAATCCCAGTTGAGTCAATCCATTGTAAACCTAGAGGAACCAAGCTGAGATGTAACATCAACTTAATCGCTGATTAATACCCAAAGAAAGAACTAGCTTTACCACTTCGGATGACCTGGGGTGGAAGCCCACAGTGAAACCCTTAAAAACTCTTGGGCCTCTTTTAGGACAAGGAATGGCTAGCTCAACAACCGTCCTGGACAAAAAGGGAGCATGTTTAGCTGCAACGTACACAAGAAAAATAATGCCGTAAGCACACGAAAGCAGGCAACAGATCAGCGAAAATAAGCAGTACAGGCACATTTAAAAGTATATGATGCTCAAAGTTCTGGCTACTGCAGTTCTTTTGGTTTTAGAGAATTTGGAGCCGTATTTTTATAGATCAAACATTTTCATTTCTCTTTTCCTTGTAGCAAACATAAAGAGAATTCAGGGAATGAGAACTTTAGCATATATAAAGCTCCCATGGACGAAACACAAAACGGGGATGAGGCAGCATGAATGGAAGAGTGCTGCATGGATTCCACCCCTGCCGTCGCCCAGGACAGGCTTATCCTCATTGATAATGCTCCAGCGTGGTGGATATAGAAGCAGCCCAACGCTGAGAGAGGCAGAGGCATGGTTATTGGCTAGAGCAGGAGCAGTGTCCAGCGGTTATCAAGTGTAGTTGGAAGTCCAATTGCACTTCGAGTTAAAAGGCTTTGCCTGACTCATGGTCAAAGATAGGTTCAACACAAGGGAGTATGGACTTCATGGATAGAAAAATTGGCAGCCCCTCTGTCCCCTCTTCTCCCCTGTCCTCCCTATGTATACTGTCACATTCTCTTTATACGGTTCCTCCATCTTGTAAATATGTTTTCTTACTTAATACTCCCTTCTTTCACAAATATAAAATGTTTTGGATATTTCAATATGGAGTACATACGGACTGAAATGAGTGAACAAACACACTAAAATGTGTCAATATACATCCGATTTAGAAAAATGTTAGAACATCTTATATTTGTGAACAGAGGGAGTAATATTTACTGTCGGGGCCTCCCTCACAGTTTTTCGATCAGAAAAAATACATTGAGACGCAAAGCCTATGCGTTTTCTCGAAAAAGGAAAAAAAGAAGCTGCATGTGCCGCAAATTTCCGTGTCAAGTGCTGATAGTCATCGTCTTGCAGGAAGGTTAATGCATATGTCCAACCTCGCTATGATGCTACATAACAACAGTGACAGTACCTGTTACTATGAAGCGCCAGAATTTAAAAAGACCATGATTGGCTATTTGAAAGCCAAAACATTTTAGATTCAAAATAGGTAGCGAACTGGTGGTTTCTGCATTTTTATATATTTTCTGCACCAAAGTTGTTTTCTTTATACTTTTAGAATATTTACCAGTGTGCATACTAAGAAAATATACCCATTCATCTTTCCCCTGAAATGATCTGCTATGTTCAACTCAAATTTATTCCTCCCATTTGTACAAGGTGCAAGAAATCATCATGAGCATGTTGACTGTGGTCAGCTGATCTACATACTAACATGGATGAAAAATTAGACTTCATAAGACATTTAACTACAAGTGAACAGCTCTTTTTTGTAGCAAACACACAGAAATTAGGAAAGAAGTTGCAGCTTCTTCACTTTTTGACATCAATAGAAAGAAATCGATTAACTAATATCGATTAACTAATTCTTTTAACAAATACTACAAAGAAAAGTCGTCATGGTTACCTGCACATCCTTTCATCATAGGATACGCTGCAAATGCATCCATGTTCATCTGCAAAACTATCAATGTTAAGTTTTTTTCTTTCGCAAAAAGGCATGCACCCAAAAAGAATCAACACATTGGTCAACCAATCATGGTTGATAGTTCTGGCAATAAATATTTAAGCAAGGTAGTAAGTGTTAGACAGAACTCCGCCTATGTCTTCTAGGCATAGCCAGTCCCAAGCCCGGGTAAAGGAGGAGGGTTGTGATAGGCTTGGCAAGCCAACGTAAAAACTAGTCAGTCCCATGGGTATGGAACCCATTTGAGCGAGAGTAGTACTAGGATGGGTGACCTCCTGGGAAGTCCTCGTGAAAAGATTTCATATCTAAGGGTTGTCATAGGCTTGGCGAGCCAACGTAAAAACTAGCCAGTCCTTTGGGTATGAAACCCATTTGGGCGAGGGTAGTACTAGGATGGGTGACCTCCTGGGAAGTCCTCATAAAAGGGTTTCATATCTAGCCTAACCCAACTTGTTTGGGACAAAAGGCTTAGTCAGTAAGTAAGTAAGTAATTGTTAGACAGACAAGCAAAATGGCTAAAAACATGTGTTAACATAAAAAAAATGAGCATCAGACTGGTTACATGAAAAATTTGATAATCAAAACGACTTTAGTTATATGATATACAAAACGTTGGCTAAAGCGGGGAAGAGTCTCCTTTAACTGTCCGTTGTTTAGGTGGGAGGTGAGACCTCTCCGTGATCTAACAAGGATAGCACACCAGCGGGGTCCGCTGCACGGACTCGGACACAGGTGGGCGGGTTAGCCACTGCAAACTCCAGCCACTGAGCTAGCGCTCAGTTCTCCATAACTTTATTATGATTGCATATAACTACATATTGGAGACTGAATCAAAGTCTAAACCAATGCTTATGTTGAGATGGAAGGGACTGACTATTCGCCACCAAGGTTTCCTAAACATAAAATGTTTGTGTCCGTAAATGAGGTAAGTGTTAAACACAACTTGGTACAAGTTTGCAGAAACTCAGATTCAGTTAGCATAACATGACCAAGAATAGTTTATGCCATAAGACATCCCTAAACGTGCATATAATCAGATAAAAATATGTGTAACCATGGAGCTTTAACAACAAACCGAATGCTAATTTTACTTTAGTCAGGTTGCAACATATTTGGTGGAAGAGTATTAACAAAAAAATGTAAACAGAAAAGACAGCTGACCTTTGCATACTTTATTTGAGCATCGTCCACACATAATGTTGACCTGAAATATCAAATATGCTCATTGATGTTAGTCCAGATATCTAAAATGAAACTACACAAGAAAATAGGAAATTCTAAATATTAGTGAAAACAGCAAAGTATCTCATCGAAGTTAGAGCAAACCTGTGCAGTACGGCCCATCTCTTCAAACGTAGTTTCACATTTCGCTAAATCACCATTGTAAAATCTCTGAAATAATGTGACAGATTAAGGAATAATGAAGGCTGAGAACCTACTATGAGAAAAGATGCCAGAGCAATTATGGAAAACAACAAAGATGCTTTAACAAATATTCTGTTTAGTGATTGCTTATTAAGAAAGCTTGGAAGTACTCTGCTGGAAATGTTTGCATTGATAAACTCGCAATGAATTGATAATTATAGTATTTTTGGCCTAGACAGACTACATCCAATTCAACCATCAGCTTGAAGATGAGTTTATACCCTGGACTTCAAGACCCTAGTGTACACCTTTAAATTTGTTCCCTTCAATGTAGAAAGTGTTAAGCTTCATGCACTAGCCAACGCAACCAAAAGTCTGAACTGATGGAAAGGGCTAGGCAATCCATATATACACTTCGACACCCCCTCTCACGAGTGACGAGAGGCCTATACGTGGACACAGAGGGGGAAACAACGATTTTTGGATAAAAATTGAGGAAGCCAGGACTTGAACTCATGACCTTAGACCCTGATACCATGTTAAGCTTCATGCACTAGACAATGCAACCTAAAGTCTGAACTGATGGAAAGGGCTAGGCAATCCACATATACACTTCAACAGAAAAGAACACACCAACTCGACAAATAACTGGTGGAAAACTTGAGACTGTAAATCAACACTCCTTATGACCTTTTAGTTCCATTCAAGATACTGAAACCAGGTAACCAGTACCTTGCTCACCTCATAGTGATTATACAATGTAATCGACCTTATACACGGTTTTTCCAGTAACCTAGGAGAGTACCTAGTACTCTTAGTCTGTTACACGGCCTAGTAGACATAGTTTTAATACATTAGTGTTCTTGTGCTGTCTTCCCCTTAACTCAATACACTACTTCAATGTTCTGATTAAGTTTGCAAGTTTTACTCTGATGCGTAACTTCCATGCACCCTTTCCTTCTATTCATATGTTAGTGTGACAATAGAAAAGTGGACAATGCAACCTACGTAAGAGGCTTCTAACCGTGTGGGATGAACCATTAGGATATTATAACATTATTAGCTTATTATCCGTAGTACGATATACAGCAGATATGTTACACGAGATACCTATTGAAAGTTAGACATCACCGGCTATTGGCCAATACCTCCCATCTAGTCCTGCTCATTTCTAGGAAAATCACAGAACTTTGAAGATGTAACCCTGTCTTGAACTATGTGGCAATGACACATCAAAGGCACTGTTTTATCGCATACAAAGTTAATATAATTACGGAAGTGTTACCTGGATGTAGTCAACCGGCTTTGAACCAGTCTCAAAAGAGCGATGATTGGTAAAGCGGCCAAAATCAATGAAACCACCCTGGGAGAGAAGAATTATTGAGATTGACCAAGACAAAAGCATTAGATAATTGTTAGATATGTATATACTATTTGTGTAATACCCCGTTGCATAGGGGTTTCCTGCATATTTGCCACCTGCATGTCGATATATATTGGCCTATTTGCCTCATTTAATAAAATTTATCTTTATTGCAACATGGTATATATTAATATAATCAAATATAAAAATCAAACTGTCTACGATGAATTTGAACAAGAATTTTCACATATAATAAGCATGCTAAACGAGAAAGCACAGATGAGCAGATAAATGATGATTGACATAGTTGAACCTGAAAGATGAAGATGTTGGAAATAAGAGGGTACATGTTGAATTGCTGCTCACCTACATAAGCTTATGCTTCTACCTGTATTATATTTCTGTACTTTTGCATACATGTGGGTACATACAAATACAATTATATGAAGCTAATAATTTATTTCTCTATGGAAGTGTGGTTCACTATAAATAATTGTTAAAACGTACTCCCTCTGTAAACTAATGTAAGAGTGTTTAGATCACTAAAGTAGTGATCTAAATGCTCTTATATTAGTTTACGGAGGGAGTACTAAATGAAGCACCTATTCGGAAATTTCAATGGCCCACCAAGTCCCTGATCTGGTCCGGTGGCGCCTTGAGCCGTCAGGCCAATTCTCCACCAAGTCCCTCTACCGGGCCATTGCCCCCTCCTCCGCCCCCCCTCCCCTCTCGGCGGTTTGGTCCATCCGCCTGCCTCTGAAGATTAGGATCTTCATGTGGCAATGGATTCGCGGGCGGACCCCGTCTAGGGTGGAGGTTCGCAAGCGTAATGGTCCTGGTAGTGGCCTATGCCCGCTCTGTGGTGTCCCCGAAGACTCGAATCACATCTTCTCTTGTGTGTCCGCTCAATTTATGTGGAGCTGCTTCCGAGAGGTGGTAGATGGCAGTTGGTGCCACACCAATTTCCCCGACCTGTTCGCCGAACTCCAGAACTCCCCCCTGCCTTCTCGCCACATTAGGTGGCTGGAGATTGGGGTCCTCGCTTGGACGCTCTGGACGATCCGCAGTAGACTTGTGATTCAGCGCATTCCGCTTCGACGTGCTACTGACGCCCTCTTCAAACTCTCTGGTTACTTGCAGCTATGGCGGCCGCTTAGCCGCCCACGGGACCG